AGTAAAAACGAACCAATACTTAGCCCACAATTATATTCAAAAACAACAAAAAAGTCCAGACAATTGTAAGTTATTAGTTAATTTTAGACCCAAGGGGCAGCTGATCTCATGAAGATGGGTGAATCAACATGAAACAAGAATCAACGTGAGAGTCACATTTGATCTGTAGGTATCAATCGAGCAAGACATATAAAAACATCAGTACATGACCTACAAACGGAGCTAAAAAAAATTCGTTGAACTAAATATATGAATGATTGTATGGCAATGAAAAATGGCGGACAGAGAGGGGAAGCACAATATGCCCCACAATTTCATGGCGGGCATTTAAAAGAAACCAGTGACTTTTGTATTACAAAAAGAAAATTTCCAAAATTGAAGTTAAAAAAAATCAAAATTTGTTATGATGTAAAGTATACAGAAAAACCCTATAAATTTGATTTATTATGTTATAAAGTATATCAGCTACCCTTGAAATATAGGGAATTGTTAACGAAAACAACACCAAATTAAACAAAAATAAACTCCGACATAACAGAGGGGGTAAACTATGTATGATAAAACAAAATAAGAAATGGGGTATATTATATAGCAAACAAGTCCGTATGTAACCATGGCAAGACCTATACGCATGATAATTGACAAAAATACGTTCTGTCCTTCATCGTTAGGTCTGCTGGTATCTGCAAAATCATCAAAGAAAAGGTAAATTGATCGGATATCAATAATGTTTAGAAATAAAGAGTCAAGAATTTTCAAGTGTTAAAAATTTCAACATTTTGATTTCTTTCCAGTTTACCTGAAAATGTGGAAGAGATGTTTCTGTTGGATGCGGATGAATTTCGTTGTGTTTGACTGTATGATGCATACGAGCTCGAGGCTCCTTGACCATATCTAAATGATGGAAGTTTATTAACTTGTTTGTATGCCCTTATCATTACTCTACAACATGGGCATGTTTGCTCTTCCCAGAGTCTAATACAAGGGTAGCAAAAAATGTGTCCACATGGTACACAGAAACATGGATTTCGAATTTGTTCAAGACATATTGCACATTTTTCCATTCTTGTTATTGAACAAATTGATATTCAATATATTTGGTTCTCCTCAGAATGTTTTAACGAGCTACAAAATAAAAGACGGCACATTTCACACATGGATATTTTACTCGTTACATTTAAGCCTTATATAGCAAATACCATTGTAACATCTTAACAAAAGCATAAAATGGATGATTTCAACATTTTATTCAACTCTCATTTTGTAGCAATAAAACGCAAGTATCATAAGCATATGGTGTAAATATTTTCCAACAAATCAAATATCAAAGATTCATATTTTGCTTTTATGATCTTGTTCATTTGTTTTGCCTGGTTCTCAATATTTATTGTTTTATCAAGACTGCTTGTTTTTGCGTTTTTAGTAAGAACATAAATTATCATTTTCTCATTTATAACTATATGTAAACCCCCCACAACTATAATATGCATCATACACTTATTTCTAACGTGTTTTAAAATTACAATAGCCTTCTTAAATACTTATACTGATGATGTTTAAAAAGTGGTGTATTTGCTTGTTAAAAATAAACAGAAGAGAAGTGTCAATTCATAGAAAACAAAAAAGGGAAAGCTTTATACACAATGGAACTCTGGAAGGTAGGAGTTTACATTAGATCAGCTTTACATTAGTTCCCACCTACCATACATTCTCATCTAGTAAAAAATGTTATTTTCATACCTGCGTTGTCACCCATATTGTGTATAACAGTAAAATCTATTTCTCGTAATTATCACCTGAGTTGTAAAAATTAAGGCATTGATAATTTTAACGTATAATTTTATAATATAAATCCATTTGAATAATAATTGTGCCTACATACCTGCTCCATCTACTGTATATGTTGTCTCAAATTTCAATTTATAACAACATTGTTCATATCAGTGTTTTATGAAGTTGATCAAAATGTATCAATAATTCACTATAATTTTTCACGTATGTGTAGATTAGATATGAACGTGTACATATTGCACTAATCTGCAGGTGAACGTCGGTTATCCGTTAACTTTTAACCTTTTGCTCCAGTTTTCGATAGCAAACAATACATATCAAGTACATATACATGACTACCATTACAATAAATGTAATATTTTCCTCGTTGAAATAAAAATACAATATAATTAATATGTGTAGTTCTCATATCAAGTCAATTCTGAGCAAGGATTGCCCTCATTGCAGTTATTTTTACTAACTACAATTCTTAAATATGAATAAAATTGTTAAGTATAAAACAAACGTTTTCGTTCTGACATTTTTTTTTTAAATTTTGAACATGTACACTTAATGATTAAAGCCGAAAAGAGTTGTTGCAATATGAGTAATTTGAGTAATTAAGAAATGTCAAGGTTATGGGTCATGTTCAAACATGACATGTATAGATGAGATTGATTTTTATTCGATATTTTCAATTCGTACATTAAATATATCAGACACTTGAAATATGGAGGTAATGAACAGTCATCAAGCTCAAAAGTCAATTGGAAAAATACAATTTTGGACAAGGGTCTTTGTGTCGACAAAGGGGACTATTGATATCCTTGCAACCATGTATCATCAACTAATTTGTCATAGTTTGATAACATCGAATCAACTGGGAGTCTTAAACTCCATATGCAGGTGATCATGGTTTATTGCTACATAAACGAGGGAAGATAGAAAAATTGCGATCATCACATTTATCATAAAGTTTTGTTGTAAGTTTGATATTAATGTTTCTCTCAAGTTTCTTCAAAAGTTTCATCAAAAGCTTGAGTATCACTGAAGAGACATATAATTTGTCGAAATGCGCATCTGGTGCATCAATATTGGTACCGTATATAATTTACATCAAGTAAAATATGCAAATGTGAAACAGATGTGTCAGACTCTATGGTGTCTTTTATTTCGAGTTCAAAGGAATATATCGAATCAATAAAGGGTGTTTCAGACACTCAAAACCCAGCAGATTAGTTTACAGGGATGTTCTAGAGTTACACTATATGACAAGTTCAATTGATGCAAAGCATCAGATCGGCGCGCAAAAATAGAGTATTTTTAAGAATTTTTGCAAACAGGAATCCAAAGGAAAATTCAATATGAATAGAATTACATGTACCATGCATGGTACATTTCTTCTGAAAACTGTTCCATTGCCTTACTTTTTCTTTGCAATTTTTTAAACTTTATTTTTCAGTGTGATCAAAAAAGTAAATAAATTCATGGCTATAAAAATAAGATAGTATCATCATAAAATTATTTGACTCAAATACAAATGCAATAAATATTCAAAATTGAATAATTATGAATGTCTGAATGCTGTCAAAAAAAGGACGTACAAATCATAGGCACTCTATATACAGTGATATGTTGTTTTTTAAAACATGCTAATTTCAGCATTTTTGTCAATTATATTTAAATGAGTTTATTCAGTCACACCTAAAAAAACAACACATAATATACAAAATACACCATCCTGAAACCAAGCGCCAGTATAATTAATGGAAATGTCGATGTTCTTTCAAAATATATGTGAAGTGCAAAACAAATCGTTGTGTCATTTTCAACAGTTACTGTAATTAATGTATCCAAAACAAAATTTACTTCTTCAAAACTTTTACAATTCATTTGTTATTGTAGGCACTGTAATTCACATTCGGAAACCCAATACGTTTTGTTTCTATATTTTATGCACGCCCATCTTCGGGAACATGCAACAACTTTTTTTTTTTATAAAATCATAAATTAATGAATATATGATGAGAAATAAAAAACAAATTGAAACCTGATAACAACTTTTTAGACAAAGTATAAAGCGAATTTTAAAAACTTTTATTCATGACTTTTATGTTTTTTATCAATAAAGAATTATTTTATCGAGGCAATGAAAAAATAACGCCTCAATTCCCCATGTGCACATTTTAACACAACTACAAATAGATCGGCCACTCCTGCAGCCGATAACAAGGTACATTTTCTTAATGAAGGATAACTCTCTCTGGATTAACTACCAGACTTTGTTTTATTTCCATAAATGTCTGTATTAAGTCACACCATATGAATTTACTGTAGTTTTCTGCGTTCCATTCCTTTTCTGTCCAAAAAAGAATAAATAATAATTATATGTTTTTCCAAATTATTTTGTCACTTTGGCTTTCTTCGGTGGTGGTGAGTAAGTTGTTTTCTCTGTACTTCGGCAAACTTTTGCTTTTTCCCCACCCGAACGTGTGCGACAAAAATAAATTTTCTATAAATACAATATAATGAAAATAATTCTAAAATTTATAAGTATTAATATTGTATGGGGGAAAATGTTAACCATGGTTTTTTGTTAGAAAATGAGAGATTCTTTTAAAGTACATGTAACATGTGTAACTCGACAATATGCAGAATTATCTCGGATATCACTGCGGTGTGGGTTTTTTAATCTATTATATGAACTTTAAACTTAATGATTAAAGATTTCCTGCTGAAATGGCGTCTCAACTTGTCGATATTGTTTTGGATAAGCAATAACAGAAAGAAACAAGGTAAATAAATACAATAAATATTTTATTTTTCTAAATGTGAATATTAAATTTACATACTAGATAAGATGTTTAGTATGTTGGCAAAAAGTACGGATAGAAATTTTCCATCAATGTAGTGTATAAGACATTTTGAAGGTGTTCTTACAACTTTTTTTTTGCAAAAACACCCAAAATTTTATTACATGCATTCTCCCTCCCCCCCCCCCTCTCTCTCTATTGTAGATTCAAATCTAAAGAACCGTTAGGACATACTGTAACCTTTTCTCCTTGTAAAGCAATTTACCTGTGCAACTGATCGTAGGCTTTTAAAGCCCTCATTGATTATATAGAAAAGCAGTGCCTGTGTTGTTTTTATCAATCTTTGTGGCGTTATGTGCACGGCAGACATACTGAATAAATAATATTTATTTATTTTTCTTTTCACAACAGGGTAAAATGGAGAAAGGGAGCTATAGTTTTACTAAAGAAGAAAGAAATTTTTGGATCCTAGATGTTTTGATCAAATATGTTGCCCAACCAGCGGTGAAGAAACGTTTTGATGTTATTATACCACCAGCTGACCTTGCTACTGTTCTCAATAGTAATGTCAGAGTCATTCAAAACCTCATTAGCAGAAAAGTCATCAATGTGTATCAACAAGAAGTTCTACAGAGGGTGCCCGGCTTCAAAATCCCGACAATAATGATGACACCGACTCCGAAAACGACAGGTTTGAAAATAAAAACCATAATATTATCCCCTCTTAATAATAGATTGTAAGGTTAAAGGAAATTCTCTTGAATTTCTTTGTTGAAAAATAAGAAATCGTTTTATATTAACTAAGAATATTCTGTTGTTCATCCAAAGTGTTGTTTTGTGACCCCTGCGGATGGAACAGAATGAAAAAGCTATTTAAGGAGTTTGAACACTCATTCATACTGTTCTAACAGGAAGATTTTTTAGTGTTATGTGTAGAACGAGGCTATTCCTCACCAAAATACTGAAACCTTAAAAATATATATACAAAAAGAATAAAGGGAAGCATACAAAAAGTCTCTTTCATATTAAAGTAGATAAATCTGGATTTAAAAAAAAATCCCAGAATATATTATTAAGTGGTGCCAAATTTCTACCTTTCATACTAGACTGTTACTGCTGGATGGAAGAGTCTGCTTCTTATATATTTCAAAATCAAATATCGTATTTCATGCTTATTTAACTATTTCATCGGTGAAAACTTAAGACTGAGGTACAATATTAAATATACAGATAATTATACAGATACATAATCTATGCCTTTTTTTAGAGATATACAAAAAAAATGCACGTTTGAAATTGAGGTAGTGTCGTATGTGTTTTCTGTATGGGCAATTTCTCCCTATTTTTGTGAATTTTAAAATCTAAGCTTTGTCTTTAACAATCAAAATTTTTATTTGATTTCGAAAGGTTTACATAAAAATTTTTCAGTATTTTGTACTCTATCTCTCTGCTAACGGTTGAGTATCTTATTTTCTCGGATACATTCTAGCAACTTCATCGGCTGATTTCGACATTACCTTGATGATATGCCTTTTACGCAGTCTGAAGCTTGTTCAAGAACCTACCACAGGATGGGATAGACTTCCTTCCGACAGGGATAAATCTCTTGGGGCGCATATGACCAGAATCAAAGTCTACAGGAACAAGCTATCTCATCCTTCAAAAAGTCGAATTAATGAAAACTCATTTAAAAAGATATGGTCTTCCTTAAAAGAGGTAAGAAATATGGTATTGTTCTATTGCGAGATCGACTATTTTGGACGGTGAATATTGTCATTGTTCTGTCAGCACAAAATCACATTCAGAAAGAGTGAAACTAAAATAGGAAAACACACCCACACCCACCCACCCACCTACCCACACACACACACCCTTGTTTGTAAATCCAGCCAACTGACTACATTTGAAATTTTACCTTCATCTCGCTTCACCGATTTAGAGGCTTGAAAAAGAGAAAGTAAGACCAGAATATACCGAGGTTAACCTTAGGATTTCTCTGTATCTATAGGAATTTTTGATATCTTTTACTTTAAGTATATTGAAATTCGACATGAATCTCACTACATTTTTACACTTATTGAACACACACGTGCAAATCAGTACAGCTAATTCAACCGTCAATTCACTACAAGGTTATAAACACACAGGAAAATCACTACAGCTAGTGATCATGTTTAATTTTTTTAATTGCACCGTTTATTTTATTTTATTTACTGGTATAAATGGTGTATGTATGTACAAGACAGTATACAAGATCAAAGGAAAAGATTGGATATACGACAAAAATGTATGTTATCAGAGCTGTTCCCATGTTGACATATACATGTATACAGCATGTACAGCGGCGGTCTAACATAAACTCTAATTAACATTAATCTCAGAGTCGATAATTGAAGATATCTTTTAATAATCAAGGACATCATCAATTCATTTTTTATTATTAATAATGGAATGAACGATACTTTCTTTTAATGAAAGAACGGAAAAAATCTTTTGTAAGACAATCTCTAAATTGATTCTTTGCGAGTAAATTTTCCGCCACTGTATTGATAGGCCTATCTTCGATTCAATTGATAAGCGCATCAAATCAATTATTGCTCTCCTTTATTGAATAGTTGCGGGTATAAATCCAGCTGATGAGAGGAATAACTGATCTGATGCTCTCACTCATTCAGAAAATGTATTTCAAGCAGTATCCTAAGCATGTCTTGTATCTTTTCTTTCCATGTAACATCTGTGCAAGATTCGTTAAGCTAAAAACTAGTCCCCTACTGGTAAAAACGGTTCTTTCCTCAACTGTCTGCCTGTCTGTCCCTCTGTAAGTCCTTCCCATGGCACTTGAATTTTCCGCCCTTTTTCTACAGCTTGCAAATATTGAACTGATGTTTGGTATGTGAGTCTACCTTTACTAAGTTACAGATCAAGTTTGAATTTCCGCTTTCAAGAGTTTTGACGGAATTACGGGCATTTCAATTTTCTAGGAGAACCAGATAACATTTGCCGGTAGGGTGCTAGCATTGCATATGCAATACTCTCAAAATGCTTGTTAAAGTTACGAAAAAAGCTACTCCCTAAGCACCTAAATGGTCACTTTTGCTGATAATGAAGGAAAAAGCAGCATCCGAAGCAATACTGCTATTATCAGCAGTCAATATTAGCTGCTCGGCATTAAGCTAGATAACTTGCGATTTATAAGTTCTTTCAAAATTTAGAGTAGTGGCATGTTTGAAATATATATTCTTTCAGCATCGAATTTTCTTTAAATTTTTCCCAAAAAATCCCTGTGTGAAGAATCGTGTGGTCAGTTAGTAAAAAAACAAACTCGAACGTCAATTCATCATAGTTTCAAAACAGTAAATATTCCGTGATCTGGGTAACCAAAAAGTTAGTGGAATTAATTGTATTAATGATAATTCATTCTCATTAATACCCAATGATAATCGCCCAAGTTCAAGTGCAAGTTCAGTTTATTCACCCAACCCAAAATAATAGTACATGGGATACATTTATAACATATATATATATATATATATATATATATATTTCATATAAACTGTTCAGAGGTACAATATCTATATATACAATGCAAAAACATGATAAAAAATGAATAATGATAATGATAAAAATACTTCGCAGTTCCATTTTTAACCATTTTCAAGAGAAAATTCTTAAAAGATTACATATAGTCATATACCCTAATGTATAGTTAAGAAGATACGAAGACTCCCTGACCGCTTGGGAAAGTGTGTTTTAACACCCTACTGCTCAGATTGACCGGTGGGGGAGACTTTCAATGATTTGAAAATACGCTATCTAACAAGAAACATGTGTTTTAGCTAGAAAATGCTAAAATGCATTCTCTAAACGGACAGGGTGTCTCAAGCCGCCTCAATACCCTTGATAGATTCAGGGCAAAGCCCAGATGATGGCGCAGAGGACTAAAGTCCCTGAAAGCTCCGGAATTTTGACGATCCAAAGCCATTTTATTCACAGAAGAAGTTGGAAAATAGATATATTTTTGTTCTTATTCTAGTGAGGCATACTGGGCGACTGAAATTTCTCGGTACTACATTAATAGAGTATTTGAAAATTTTTTAAAGAAGATAAATCAATCATAAGTTAATGAAATACATTATAAAGTGTACATAAACAGAAAATTTAAAAGGGTGTTTTAGTGATAACATTTTTGTATCGTGTTCCTACAATGAATTTCAGTATAAATATGAAAGTAAAAATTAAGAGAAAATTCATATACGAAGATGGCTTTCTATGCAAACTTCGTGATAATTATAGTTTTGTCAATGATAAAATATGTACAACCTTTGATTTTGAGTATCCTATGCCCTGAAGGAGTATTAATTTTTTTTAATCAATTTACTTTGGGGGAGACTAAACGATGTGCATGCTTGAGCATATAAGGAAATATGGAAGCTCTGCCATACCAGCCAAATTAACATACTTTTTATGTTACTTGTGTTAAAGATATATTCAAATAAAGCATGTAAATTGAAATGATAAAAAAAAAAACATGTGATAATTGGTTAGAAATTTTAAGTATTTCAGCAATATTAATAATGCCATCACATTGTTGGGGCTCGAGTTAAATTCCACTGATGAGAAGAATGACTGAATTTAATTGCTGCTAGCATCAAATCAATTACTGATCTCATCAATTCAAATGATGCGCGCCTTAATTTTTCTAATGTTTGCCAGCATCAATAATTCGCATTAATTCAATTGATGAGAGCAATAATTGATTGGCACTTCAGTTCATATGAGAGCAATGATTGATTTAATGATATATTTCAAGTAATTTAAGATGACTTCACTATTTCGTGTTTAAGAAATACAAGAATACAAGAAAACAATGGATAAATGTATTAAAGAATATTCTTTATCTATAACGTCAAAATTAGAAAATTTACAGAAAAGTGATATTAAGGAATATTGGAGAATTTTAAATAGTTCGAAGGCTAGATGTAAAACTGAAGTTGATATCAAAGCAATGTAAGATTTTTTGAAGAATAAAAAAAAATGAATCTAAAGATGATGAAGGTGATGTAGATGATAACGATGTCAATTTCGATAATAACGCCCCTTTAAATTGTCAAATCTCTGCAGAAGAAATCTTGCAAGCAGTTAACAAACTGAAAAATAATAAAGCTCCAGGGTATGATCAATTCTGTAACGAATATATTAGTACAACAATATCATGTTTTTTGCCACTATATGTTGACCTTTTCAATTTGATTTTTGATAATGGTTTTGTACCTGAGGAATGGCTTATTGGTATCGTTAGGCCAATGTATAAAAACAAGGAAGACCCACCTCTTCCTGAAAACTATAGACCAATAACACTATTAAGCTGTTTAGGAAAAGTATTTACCAGTATTTTATGTGAGCGTTTGGATACTTTTTCTGATGAATTATAATTGATTACTGAAGCCCAAGCTGGCTTTAGAAAAGGATATGGTACAAAAGATAACATATTGATATTAGATTTTTTGTGTAAATTTGTTTCTTTTAGTAAGAAAAAACTTTATTGTACATTTATTGACTTTAAACAAGCCTTTGATGCTGCTTGGCGATCGATCTGGTTTGTGGTCCAAAGTGTTTAAAAGTGGTATAGATGGTAAATGTCTAAGATTTATCAAAAATATGTACAGTGGTATTAAATCGAAGATATATATTGATCAAAATATCTCTGAATTTTTCATGTGTAACCTTGGGGTAAGACAAGGGGAAAATTTATCCCAATTTCTTTTTACTTTATATATTAACAATTTAGAAAACTATTTATTGCAGAATAATATTGAAGGGGTTACGAGATTTGATGAAAAATTAGAAATTGAAATGCAGATAATGTTTAAACTTTTTAGACTTTTTTATGCTGATGACACAGTTTTATTATCTGATAATCCAGAGGATTTACAAAGATCTTTGAATATTTTCTCTGATTATTGTGACCATTGTAAGCTTCAAGTAAATACAGACAAGAATAAAATAGTAATTTTTCTAGAGGAAGAATACCTAAGAAAATATTTTTGTATAGAGGTGCACCAATTGAAATTGTGAACGAATTTAAATATTTACAATGTAGGTGTTATCATGTCTCGTAGTGGTTTCTTCAGAAGTGCCAAAACACATTTAACTAAACAAGCATCAAAAGCCATGTATGGAGTACTTAGAAAAATAAGGTATTTTAATTTACGGTATACACTTAAAATTTCTGAAATTTGTTTTACATGTTAAATCCAGCACTCCAAATTGTATGGTATATATATGGGGAAACTGGGCGATACCCTTTAATAATACGTATAAAGGCACGAATGATTACTTATTGGGCTAAACTTTTGATGTCACATGAACGTAAGTTTACATATATAATGTATTGCTTTCTCCATAAATGCTTTTCTGAAGGTTTATTTATGCATCACACATATTAATAAGGTACACTACTAACACAAATGTCGAGTCACTATACTACTAACACACATGTCGAGTCACTATACTACTAACACACATGTCGAGTCACCACACTACTTACACACATGTCGAGTCACTACACGACTGAAATATACATTAAAAATAACAATATTAAATCACACGATGAGCTATACCAGAAACACATATAAAATTATACATTCCCAACACATGAGTCACCATACTACATGTACAACTCACATAACAAACAACAAAATTACCACACATAATAA